CGAGCGCCTGTTCTCGAGGTCACGTCACTTATGCCATGAGGTGCGGGGATCAATGAAGGCGGAAACCATAGTGAAGGCGATGTTGATGAAGATGTGGATAAAGGCCAGGTATCTCGAGTATTAGACGTTTCCTTGCTGCTATGGAATCGAAACTTTGTTGCCCTGAAAAAATACCATTATAAATGTTTTCTTTCCGTTTCCGTTTAATTTGCGCTCAGCCACAAACGAAAACGAAACGGTTGGAGCCTTAGTTATGCGCCTCCAATGCGCCTCCTGAAATACATGCATTCTCAAGGGGGGTTGAACTTTAAAATTTTGGACACAGGGTGGCAATGGGCTAAAATGAGGGCTGGCAATCGATGTATCCGGTTTTTTGTTGAAACTTTCCCATGGGGGGAGGAGGGGGGTCCAACCAATTTTTTTTAGAGAAACGTTCTAATGAATGAGTTTGTTTCAGGAAAAATGTCAAAAAATTCCGAGAAAATATTCGACTTTGCCATCAAAATTGCTATGCCTCCTCTAGTGCTGGCCGTAAATACGATATGCAAAAATATATTTTGAATATATTTGAATACATACCAATACGATACGGCCCAGGGACGGCTGCCAGAATATGAATACAACTGAATATGAATACGATACAATATGAATATGATATGATACAAGCCCCGCTGTATTAAAATATATTTGGATATAGTTAGGAACCATTTAGGCCGCCCCGGGACCTCAACCGGCACCAATCGGGTCATTAAATCCTGTCCGGCACCTCGAAAGTAGGTCTCGGATCTGTGTTTGCCGCCTTCCGGCCCATGAATCTAACTACCAAATTCGTTGATGCCATCAGAAATGTTGTGATCTCAATGTCAAAGGCTGGCTCATGTCTGAAGTCATGATTTCCCAAGCAAATCTGACCTCTGGAGGTCGGAACGAGGACAACTGTTGAAATAAGCTCAGAAGGGTTAAAGTGTTGCAAGAGGATTTAAGTCTCTGCAAACCAGTGAAGGGCTACTACCTAACTGCAAAGTATTTATACTATGGAAATATACTAGAATGTTCTGCATAAGTGAGTAAGCTAGCATCGGGGTGAGTAAGTATGAGCTTGGGCTGAGTAAGAACACCGGGCAGATCATCAATTCCATCACTGATTAGTGATGTCGGCTTGATAATCCAACAACAACACCAAGCATGGCGATGCGGGCGGTCTGCGAGTGGGTGGGATGATGCAACTACGAGACACTCCGATGCATTCCGCTTGCTAGAGAAGGTCCATATGCTTTTACACTCCTTGTCTGTGGCCTCTAATTGACAAATTGCTAGTGCTCACTCGCACCTGTGACCTGGGAGCTTGCTGGGGTAGTTGAGGAGGCACCTTCGTCCCCCACGTGTGTCCCGGCTTTTCAGACAGCGCCTTTCCTCCTCTCCTCCGTCAATTTCTCGGAGAATATATCCTCAAGTACTGTAGTTTTTAATTCAATTCGTCGGTCACGTGTCATGGACCCCCAAATTGACGAATAATTTCGCGCCTGTCACAGGTCACCGGGGCTGACCACAAATTTGTCAAAAAAAGTCGCAAAATTGCGAAAAAAAAAATGCTTCCAAATATTTTTTTCTTCGCTGACGCGCCCTCATGTTGCTTGTAGAAGTTTTGTGGAGCATTTCTTAGATTCTGTCAGCTGTGGTGTGCCACAGGGTCCATCCTAGCCCACAGAGTTGCCAACCACAGTAGATATCACTGATCTTCATCACGGTGCTGCGGTGAATGCACAAGAACAATGGAGGAGATGTTCTTGTCGGAAAGGATGGCGCGTTCTAGGCCCTGACCACCGCATGGAGAGGGACTGAAGCACGATTTTTTTTTTTTTTTTTGTGTCACGGTCCCCAGGGGCAATCAACGAATATGAAAGTTCGTTGCTTGGTGTCACAGGTCACAGGGCGCGCAAATTGAATTAAATAGTACAGTACTCGCAGCCAGCAGGCGTATCCGCACACTGGCAGCTGCCTTTTCTCTGATCGCATCCGATGCGTCCTGCTCCGTGCCAACACGATCTTCCCTATTCAGCGGAATGGCCACCCCGATTTGCCGCACTCGGTTCTTTATCTGATGTGCCTGAATCCATTGCAGAATTCACTCATGCACCGCCCCGAAATGATGGTGTGCCATCTTCGATGCATCCTACTATAAGGTTCACAGAGCTGCTCTTGTAGATCATTCCATATCCAAGCCGGAAGCCCATTTCAACCCGGAGTTGATATTTCAGTGTATGTGATTTCCTCAACCACAGTTCACATAAAAAGAATAACATATTCGTAGATTCCACGTTGGATTTTTCCACCGACAATGACAACCTTGATGTGGGAATGCTGGGGACAATGATTTGCGAGCTCGGAACCTAGTGTGGAAACACAAGAAACAACCAAAACCAAAACAACAAAACCAATATTGGATAGGATAGACTGAGCTTATCACAAACCGCCACTGGAAACGATGTATGATAGCAGTTTCGATCACTTCCAAGGTAGCCGACGAGTGTCAGTCCCTAGTTTCAGAGCCTTTAAAAGGTTGAAAGGGAAAGTTGATTGTTCAAAGTAAAAGTCCAACGAAAGGTTGTGTTATGATATGAACAAAACTGAAGATCCCAAGGATACAACAGTTTCGGACTTCCTTGATGCGATATATGATAGCCAAGTTTTAAGAAACGTAAGAAACAGTGATGTTTCTGGCGTTTCTTGCATATCCCAAAGATCTGCGTCGATAAAGTTGTTGTCAAAAGTCCGTAGCGTGCGTTTTGTTGGTTTCCCAACCAGTCCAGTCCAATACCGAGTCCCAGAGTCTTTCCAGTCAGTCCAAAGCCAGTATCCCAGTCCCAATATCCAGTCCCTCAGTCCAATCAATGTTCTTCTCAATCCCAATATCTTTCCAATCCCATCACACAATGTTTTCGAGTCCAAAATCAGATTCATTTCAATCCACAACTTCCAAACTTCTATTCCTTCTTAGTGGCACGAGACTCGCCCTTCACAAGTATCTAAGACTTGTAAAACTCGAATAACGTGAGGGTTTCCCGGGGGAAACTTCGCTGGTCTCTCCTCCACTACCTTGACTACTTATACAAAAGATGATATGACTATGACAATAAAGAAAATATGTAAAAGAGTCTGTTTATCCGTCCTATTGCCTGTGTTTCCGGAGTATTTATAAGACTACAAAGTGTCTCATTGGTTGTTGAGGTCGGAGTCGTCATTCCGGGTATATTCCGACCGTTCTTGGTAATGTCCTTGCACATGGCGACGTGATGGATACTTGAAACCATAATTGCCAAGTGTTTCTTGAGTTTTGGGAATCCTGTTTCTGAAGTATCCCCTGGATCGGTATAGTCGGACCTTGTAGCCCTGTTCTATAGCTTCCAAATGATACCCCACTTCCTTGAGACCGTTAAATGAGACCGATGAGGATTAGAGTTTACCATCCCCATTGGCATCTGCTATGGTTCTGAGATCGACGATGATGAGCACGGCTCCTCGCTGATGACGGAATCTGTCAATCACGCATCTCCGAGCCTTGTGTACCCATGTCGTGTTCCTGGCAACTTATTGTACAGTCTGAATGCCCAGATGCATTACTGCTATTTGCGGAACTTAGGGCGCGTGTGATTTTTTTTACAAAAAACGATCTTTGCATATAACACTCATAACTCACTCAATTCTTGATTGTTTCTCATGATTATTGTACCATTGTACTCGTAAAGCAATATGGACCATTTATGGTAATTACCAGAATTTCACATATATCACATCCAAATCCTATGCATTATGAGCAATATGCATTATGAACACCCTTCTATAGTGGCGGAAGGCATATTGGTGGATCCAAAAGTCTATGCGTTATGAGAATTTTTGGCAGGTATGCATTATGAGCCATTCTACTGTAGATGAATTTATTGAAACAGATCAATCTCTGAATCATTAACCGTTCTTTAACGAGATCCTCGGCGATTCTTTGTATGTGTTTATCTCTTTCTCCATTTATTCAATTCCTTTCGTCTTCCTCTCATTATCCTCCCAATTTTTCTCCTTTGAATCGACTAATTTTCCCTTGAACATCTCATGTGGCTCAACAGCTGACTGATGCATAGGTCTTTCTCGACAGGGCGCAATTCATCGCAGTTGCTGCTGCCTACGGCGCAGCGTAATTCTATTCACATCGTGCCGGCGCACGTAGACCATGCCCAAAATCCTCAAGGTAGAAAAGGGCTGATTAATCAACTTCATCGTTCTTTACCAATTTCGCGCGGCCGTGATATTTCCCCATGTAACCTTTCGCCATTTTTTCTTCCTCTGCTCTTGCTCCTCAATTAACCCCTTCTGTCCTTCACTATCTGTCTGGCTTGCGGTGGAACAGCTGACCCAGTCACAATCTTTCCTTGACAGGGCGCAGTAGACCGCAGTTGCTAGTGTCTACGGCGCAGCCATCTTGCCGTGAAGCCACATAACCCTTCCGGCATATAAAGGCAGCGCTGCTGTCATTGAATCCGATTCTTTCGCCCACTTCGCTCGTCCTCAAATTTAGGGCTGTATCTGATCTTTCAACTCCTCATCTTCCTGTTCTGTGGCCGGGATCGGCGGGACGATCGACCTCATTTGCTCTTCAAGCCGTCAGTGATTGCTCTAGACTGAAGGTATCAATGTTTGTTGCCTGCGGTACTGACCAGTCAACTCCTGTTCAAATCGTCCGAATATAACGCTTTCTAACACTTGATACTATGCAGTACTCTCTATATCTTCACATCACTTAGTGTCTTATGTCAACTGAGTAAATTTTATGTTGAAAAATCCTGTGGAGTCTCCCCCGGCATGCTCTTGACTCCCGGAGCAAAGCGGAGGATTGTCTTGTCTATGGATAGTGGTTTGGCCACAGGACCTGAAGAGGCAAAATAAAGAAAGTGGAGAAGGTTTAGGCCATTATAAGCCTAACATTGTATCCATCTGTTCAAAATACTGTCTCCGTCCCGGTGTAGTGGATAACACCTTCACCTTCTAATTTGGTGAAAGGTCAGGATGTCTGGTGTTCGAATCCCCTTGGTGGATTTGTTTTTGGTGTTTGGACGTTGTCCTGGGGACAATTCCCAATTTCATAGGGGGTCTTTCTCCCTTCATGATCTTTTTGACCTTGTGAGCTTGCCGACAAGCTCGCAAGGCCCAAAAGGTCACACATTTTCTCTCAAAACGCTGATGCAATCGCGGATCAGCCGTCGAATATTCATCGGTGAAGGTAATAACCGCGCCTTCGATCAATCAATCCGTCTGCTTGGAGACCGCGGCAGCAGGTATGCCCAGCAGGAGCAGGATGTGCATCAATGTGAGCCGCAACTAGGTAGTTCCATGCCAAAATCGAGCCACGGATGCTAGCGTGCTCCACGCTCCAATGCATCGCTCAAATGATCCCATACTCACACGCCAAATTCTACCCCCCTCTCCCTATTCAAGCCCCCAAGTCGTCTGCCGCAAAATGGCAACTTTTTCTTTACTCCGAGCCAAACTCACCCAGACCTTTCCTCTGAGTCACTCAAAAACCACTGTTTACCCGTCGGCTATAGCCCCGGGCGAGCCTGGGGCCACCTCCTAGGCCAATTTCCCATATCACATTACATCTCTCCTCGAAAGCCCAGCTCAAGCGCACGATTATTGTGTTCCCCACACGCTGAACTCTGCAAACTGTTCAAGTTAAGGATTTCTTCCCTTCTCGCACTCCCCCCGATGGAACAAAAAATGCGCAAAACTTTCCGTCATGGAATCCCACGTTAGTTGCGGTCAGTATGACTACCTAATCTTAAATCTTGGACAACTATTGCCCGCGGTAACGCGTAATCTTCCAGCGCCGCGTTTGATGCACGCTGAAAACGCGTCGTGCACGTGACGGACTCGGTCGAATTTTCCTTGACAACGACACAGAGACCACCAAAGCCAATGACGTCAAAGCTCTAATTATTTCTCCTCAGGCTAGGGGAGCCGCCCTAAAGATATTCCTATGGAGCTATGGTTGAGAGTACACCCGAAGTTTACAGACAAAATATCATTTTCTCATGAGTCAACGTTTTTTTTAGAGCTCCCCCCACCAAGCCTGGTGTGAAAGTAGATAGGTACCGTCAATGGCTGTAAAATCGACATGACAATCCTTTCAGTGCAAAAAGGCGAGAGGATCAAGGACAAAGTCGGTTGTGCTGACTAGGACGGCATCCCAGAGGCGCGCGAGATAAGCAAGATGCCTGCAGAAAACAGCGACTTGCAAGGGAGAGCAGTAGGTGGAAGTCGAGATACGGTGAGATCGAAATTTCCCCGTGCGCTATTGAAATTTGAAACACACAAAGTGAAGTGGATTGACACGAGTCCTAGATCAGTGCAGACTGAGTTGGGACTTATTTGTGTGGAGTGGTGAGGGGAAAAATCCAGACCACGGTAGACATTCTATATCAGTCGGAGGAAAACAGACGTCTGCAGACCAGTCACATTTAGGGCAGAGCAGAACAGAAAGATCCAGAGCGCTGCAATTAGGAGCTCCAGAGCGAAAGTGGATCGAACATGACAGGAGAGCCATCGACACTGACTTTGATAAACCAAACCTCACTTTCGAGACTTTCATCAAGTACATAGGATCGACGAACGGCGAGGTGAACCAAAAGATCCGAGTCGGGTGCGAGATTTTCATGGACTTGACTCGGTGAAGGAGCAGCCTCAGCAGACATATTCGCACCTCTAGGCATAGTTGTGCTCATAGCCGTCCACGGTTTCCCAAGCAGAGGACCACCTCCAGCTGCAAGTAGCGCCAATCGTGGTGTAGGCCATGTAATAGGATAGCGGTCGAAGCTCCGGACGACTCCGTATAGAGTGGTTGGTGTCTGAGTCAGGTACGAAAAGCTAAGGAGAAGAAAGCGAGGCTGAGGTGCGAGACGCGCAGAGTGCCCGAGATTTGACTGGCTTGTTTGAAAGATCCACCTTGGAAAGGAAGAAGGAAAGGAAGAGTCCCACGGGAGCGAGAAGAAAGAACGGTCGACATAACTATGAATGAGAGGCTGATCTCAGACCCACATTCAGTGAATGTCGATGCAAATATCGAAGAATATGGAGAGGCGACTCGGACGCGCAGCCTACTAAGGTGGAGAGTGAATACGTGTGATACAAAAGGAGGTGCCTATCGTGCCGTGCCGTCTTCAGGGCGGTGAATGCAGTCCGAGCATGAACCTGACACAAGATACTCGATACAAGAGATATGCCGAGTGAGGGGAAGAGAAGAGCGCGTGCACAGCCTCAGCGCCAATTACAAGCGCCGCGATTAATTTTTTCCCACATGTACATGAGTGCTGGCATGCGATGGCTGAGAACAGTGCTAGCGCTGTTATTATACATAATCCACTGGCATATAATGAGAAATAAAGCTGAAAGCGACGTGTAGGATCAATGTAGGATTACAAAATGTCTAAGCGAGGCGTACGATACAATACGTTATTCGAGAATTACAATCGGAATAGATAGAGCGAGAGCATAATGCAGAGTTGTCAGAGGCATTCCGTCTATTATCCATCCATCCATCCGCGCACCCCAAATCTCGCCGTCCATCCTCTCCCCGCACAAAAAAAGTATACTTTTTCCATCGCCCAAGGCACACCGCTCATCGCTCAAACCACGTCCTCGCACGCACCAACGGCGGAGGTCGGGGGGCCTCCACGACAGTCGCTGGCTCCTCGCGCGCAGCCGACGGCGCCTGCGCCTGCGCCTGTGGTCGCGATACATCCATGCGCTGCCCCCCAAGAAAGCGCATCATCTCCATGCGATGGCGCTCTCTTGCCAGCATGCGCTCCCGTATGCGCACAATATGCGGGGGTGAATCTGGGGAGGCGGGAGCGGGGCCGCTAGATAACGGAGGTGGGGAGGGCGTCAGTGCCTGCGCGCCACCGCCTGCGCGCACCGTCTCCCCGTCCGAGTCGGCCGCATCTCCATCAACCTCCATCGCCGTCGTGGTCCCTGCGCCCTCGCCGAGCGGCTCCCTCAGCCGTAGCAGCCGCCGCACAATACGCGTACCGTAGTAGTCTTCGTCCCCCGCGCTCACACCCGCACCTGTCCCCGCGCGCCGCCTTAAATCAGGCACCGACGCGCGCCTCAGGGGACGGCGCCCCCCCGCCTCCGCCGCGAGCCACGCCTCCTGCTCACGCACGCTCGGGAAGCGCACCGCAGGCACAGGGGGCGTGCTTGTCCCCGTACCCGTTGGCGTGGAGGTGGTAGCCGTGGACGTGGGAGTGGGCGTGCGTCGCCGGCCCACGAGCTGCGCACGCGACGTCGCAGCCGCGTGCAAATCCGGGCGTGTGGAGGTGCGCCGCAGGGAGCGGGGAGTGCCTGCCGGTGCTGCTGAGGTCGACACTGCGCGAACTAGCGTGGGTAATGGAGAGGCGGAGGTCGAAGCGGAAGTGGAAGTGGACGCCTGCGAGTGGTGATGGTCGATCGTAGACCTGGATGCGACATAGTCAATATCCGACAACTGGCGGAAAGAGTGTAAGCGCACCTCTCCCACCGGTGCGCAAACAGCGCCGCAATTCGTGCATCAGGAAAAACCTCCCGTGGTAATATCCTGGGATTACCCCCAATTTGGGCCAAATTTCCGTTGATATCCGAGATTGGAACCATTTGCTTGCTAGTAAGGTTGCTATCTAGCTGCCCCCAATTTGGGGGCAAATTACCTCGATTGCCTTCTCATTTGCATTGGATTTCCCTTTGCAATTCTCAACAAATCTAGCGCTAAAACGATCTAATTTGCAAAAGGAATTCATATTTCAAGTCTACACAAGTACATTATACACTGTAAGTGACCATAACTGGCGCATATAGCGGTCCATGGTACCGCTCCTATTCGGAACAACCAGAATTGGGCGCCACTCCCCATCAAAGATGAGCGCAGAGTAATCTACAATATCGTGAATAGGATTTAGATGAGGAATAGAAGAGGAGACACGCACATTGATGAACATGTATATCGACGCTCTGTCTTCGACATCTATGTTGCGAAGTCGAGCCCAACATTGGCAACTGCCTAGATGCATTAAGAGCGAAGCTTACCAAAGTTCAAACGAATCAACACAACAGTTAGTTTATTAGGGCCTGGCAATGAATAAGCATGAAGAATGGACAGATAAAGAATGGGTAGATGAAGGCCGATACGTACAGCCGGACATCAGACCAGACACAGTGGCCGCCGCACAAAGTGTCAGCTATGAGAAGGAATCTCAGACAAAGGAAATAGTATGGGAGGACGCACTTACTACATGCATGGAGTGCCGCGCACTTGACATTCAAGTCATAACCTGTGCGTGGGAAGGATGCGGGAGGGATGGAGGAAACCAGCGTAGTGGGATACACTACGCATACATTGTTAGTAAACAAGGAGGCTAAATGAAAGATGGATCCCACGGACGTTCATACCGAACTCTGTAGTCTGTTCACATTCAGCCAGGGGGGGGTATAAGTCCCTCGTGCATCAAAGGTACACCATCGGAGGGCGATGAAGCATTTGTTTCTGGGCACAAGAAAGTGCTGTGCGAGGATAGGAGCCTAAGTGTAAATAATGAAGAGCCGAGACATACCAGTGGAACCGAAGCGGCATATGCTCCAGCGCATCCTCAAACCAGTCCTCTAGGACCTCGCACACCCCCTTCACACTGCACCACACCTGCATACACATCCATCTCGTTGCATGCTAGCTCCTATCAGTGGTTAGTATGATATCGATTCTGCACTGGGAGACGACAGCGTGGTGAGCGCTGGTCGGACAATTACCAGCCGAAGCTACATGTCGCAAAGATAGATGAGCTAACAAGCTCATATGCGGAGAGAAAAAAATGTCGTACATGAGCTCAAGAATGCTACTGGACAACGCCGCCTTTCATTGCTTGGTGGTCTTTAGACGGCGTAGACGGCGTGAAGGGAGTCCAAAGACTCACAGATGTACACAAGGCCACGGGTGAGCAAGCGCTAGGCATTCTAGAAGACATCGAGTCAGAAATGGGGAGATAGACGAGTGCAAAGTGGGGGGAAAGGAAGAA